TGTCTTCAAAGAGCAGAATTTTAAATTTTTGAAAAGGCCAATTTGTAATTTTTTCTCTCTTCTAGTTAAGTGCCTCTTGTGTCCTGGGAAATCTTTGCCTACTCCAAGTTTCAAAGATATTCTTAGATGTTTTCTTCTAGATGTTGTATACATTTAGCTTTTACATTCAGGTCAATGATCCATCTCAAATTAATGTTCATATATGCTATAAGAAAAATTCATGATTTTCCCCCATTCAGACATCCACATGTTCCAGCACCATTTGTTGAAAAGCTTTCTTTCCCCACTGAATTGCGATGGTGCTTTGGTACAAAATCAATTGACAGTACATATGTGAATATATTTATGGACTTTTTATTATGTGATTTTGTTTTTAAGGTAACTTTTTCAAGTTTAAATGTAGAAATAATAAAATTTAGAAGAATTTGGTAGTAGTTGCTTATAAAAAAAACCTTCAATGAAATACTGCAGCAAGCTATCGCTAGATTCTAAATTAAAGCTGGACAATACTATTCTAACTGATGTGTAAAGTGTCCTACTAAGAACAAGTGCATCTATAGATCACTGACATTCATGGATTTAATATTTTCAATTTCAATCAGTGGTATCTCTAAATGTCCATGACTTATAAAGCCATAATTTTGCCAAGGCACAAATATGAATCATGAACTCTGAGGCTCGTGCACACACCTGAGTAACTTAACCTAATCTCAGGAAGGCCCATGACCCATCCTCATGTTACAATTTATAGGTGAAATTATATGTTATAATGGTATTTTCAACTATTGAGATTCATAATGGTTTTGGACCATATTAATCAAAATGCTCATTGGCCTACTGTAATAATACTGTTAGAGAATATCTTCTATAATGAAAGACAAACTTAAAAATGTACAAAGGATCTGAATAGACATTTATCCAAAGAAGATATACAAATGGCCAATAAGCACATCAAAAGATGTTCAACATCATTAGTCATCAAGGAAATGCAAACCAAAACCAAAATGAGATACCACGTCACACCCCGTAGGGTAACTATAATCAAAAGACAAACAATAACAAGTGTTGTCAAGAATGTACAGAAATTGGAGCCCCCAACATTGCTGGTGGGAATGTAAAATAGCACAGCCACTTTGGAAAACAGTTTGGTTGTCTCTCAAAAAGTTAAACAGGGCCGGCCGAGTGGGCGCGATGGTTGGGAACTCGCTTGGGATGCCGGAGGGCCCTGGTTCGGATCCCACATAGGAGGGCCGGTGGCACTGCCCTCCACAGCTAGGATGCTGGGCGGCGGCTCGACCTGGAGCTGGGCTGCCGTGGGTCGCCGGCGGCGGCGTGGGCTGCAGTCCCTGTGGCGGTGGGTTGCCATGGGCTGCCGCGTGTGGCCAGCAGCCAGCGTGAGCGGCCAGCAGCCGCAGTGAGCGGCCGTCCGGAGGCCGGCGACTGATCTGCCTCGCCAGAGAGGAGCACAATGATGGTGCCAGCTTGGGCCAGTGGGGCAACGACCTCCACAACTAGATTGAAGAGCAAAGCGACGGCAACTTGTCTGTTCCCCTTCCCCCAATTCCCCAGCGCTGTTCCCCTCCCCGCAATTCCCCAATAAAAAATCTTTAAAAAAAAAATAAATAAAAATAAAAATAAAAAGTTAAACATAGTTATATATGATCCATCGATTTTGCTCCTAGGTATTAATATATACTCTGAGAAGTGAAACCATGTGTTCACATAAAAACTTGCACATGAATATTCACAGCAGCATTATGTAGAATAACCAAATAGTGGAACCAACCCAAATTCCTATCAACTGATGAATGGATAAACAAAATGTGGTATATCCCTACAATGGAATGTTACTCAAACATAAAAAAGAAATGAAGTATTGAAACATGCTACATTATGCTAAGTGGAAGAAGTCAGACACAAAAAAGGCCACATATTATAAGATTCCAAATCCGTAGAGACAGAAAGTAGATTAGTGGTATCAGGCATTAGGGGAGGAAAGAATGGGGAGTGACTGCTAATCGGTACAAGGTTTCTTTTGGGGGTAATGAAAATGTTCTATAAATTAGATAGTGATGATGATTGTACAACCATATGAAACTAAAAACCACTGAAATGTGTTCTTTAAAGGGTGAATTTTATGATATGTGAATTATCTCAATTAAAAAGAGAATACCTTCTATGAAACTCCTTGATGGTTGGATTAAAAAAAATGAGACAGTGGGATGACTGAAACAGGATGCTGTGAATATTTAGAAGGTATGAAATATTTTCTACTATAAAATTAAAAATCTGACAATTTCTATAGTAACTGAAAGATGCACAATCTTTTTCTTGTTTGGTGACTAAAAATATTGCTTGTTGAACTAAAGCCATAGGTAGGTAATGAAGAAAAGGTCAAAATCCGCGAAAACATGCTGTTCTAATTTTTAACTATTACCGTCACAGTTACTGTACACTGAAATTCATTCAGTCGATTAAAAAAATATGTAAATCAATACTAATGAAATATCTAAAGCAAACTCATAGCCTGAAGAGATTTATGTGATCTTTCTCTATTGCATTTCTAATAGTTTCCAGCTTTAACAAATTGCACAGCTTTAGCCCTACAGCCATTTCTGTTGTAGTTATGTGGAAAATTGCCAAAAAATATTTCCTGCAAAAACAGCTTTACCCTTTGTCATTTTACTGGTAAGATTCCTACAACATTTGACAAATTTGCATAACAAATTTGTAAGATTAAAAAAACATCTAAAATATAGATATATATTTAAATGTCACTGTTCATTAGCTTATATAAGTTATCGTCACCCACTGTTAAAGTTTGAGGATGAAAACCCCCTCAGAGACAGGAATAGAGACCATGACATGAGATAGAGATTGAGAGAGGGAGGAAGGGAAGGGGTGGGGGAGACAGAGGGAGGGAGGGAGACAGAGAAAGAAAGAGAGAGAGAGAGAGAGACAGACAGACAGAGACAGAGAGAGAATTTGTACATATTTCACTTCTAACACCCTAGCAAAAACAGACAGCTGCAAATTCCACAACTCTCCTAGTTCGTATAACACTAAAGTTATTTACGTGGGATATTATCCAAGTTGTTGGAGCTTAAAATTTCACCAAAAAACCTTAATCATTACCCTGTTTGATAACATACAGTTAAATTGTCTATCCACAAACAATAATGTGAGGTTATAATACCATCCTATTTAGCTGGACATTTTAATAAAGTTTAATTGTCAACTGGCTTTGACATACAGTTGAGGGAAAAACAGGTAAATTTCTACCTATAAATAAAAACAGTTTTAAAATGTTAAGGAATATGCACATTACATACTTTTAAAATATACATCTATATCTAATTTTATATATATATTTAACAGTACTGAGGTATGCTTTACATATCACGAAATTTACCAGTTAGTATATAGTTCAATGATTTAGAGTAAATTTATACAGCTGTGCAACCATCACCACAACAAATTCCCTTGTGCCATTTGCAGTCAATCCCCACTCCCACCCCTAGTCCCAGGGAACTTCTGATCTGCTTTTTGTGTCTATCATTTGCCCTGTTCTAGAAATTGCATATAAATGTAATCATACAGTATATTGTCCTTTGTGCCTGGCTTTCTTTCACTTGATATAAAGTGTCTGACGTTCACCTATATCCTATATTGTTCCACGTACTTACAGTTTGTTCCTCTTTAATACTAAGAAGTGTTCCATGTATGGAACAATTTATTTATTCATTCACCTGTCTTTGGATTGTTTCAAGTTTTTGTCTGTTGTGAATACTGCTGTGAATACTTGCATAACTGTCTTTGTATGGACATATGAGTTTTCATTGCTCTTGTGTAGATACCTAGAAATGGAATTGATGAGTCACGTGCTATGTATATATGCTGAACTGCAAAACTGGTTTTCAAACTAGCTATCCTATTTTATACGCACAACAGCAACGTATGCAGTTTCTCCACATTATTGTCAACCCTTGGTACTGTCAGTCTTTGTGAGTATAGCCATTCTAATAGGTATATAGTATCACAGTGTGGTTTTAATTTGTATTTATCAGTGACTAGTGATGCTGAGTAGTGTATCATGTGCTTGCTAGCTTTTCATGTATTTTCTTTGGTGAAGTGACTATTCATATCCTTTGCCCATGTTTTGAATTATCTTCTTATTAGTGAGGTATAAAAGTTCTTTATAATTCTGGATACAAGTCCTTTAACAGATATGTAACTTGCAAATATTTTCTCCCATTCTTTGACTTGTCTTTCCATTTTCCAAATGATGTCTTTTGAAGAGCAAATGTTTTAAGAAGTCCAACTTACCAATTTTTTTCTTTTTTAGATTGTGCTTTTGAAGAAATTTTTGCCTAATTCAAAACCACAAAGATTTTCTTCTTTCCTTCTAGAAGTTTTATAATTTTAACTCTTACATTTAGATCTATGATCCATTTTGAGTTCATTTTTTTTTTAAACTTTTTTTTTTTTAGCTGAGCCATCCTGCCACCTGTTGGCAGCTCAGCTCAGGCCGGGAATCGAATCGCTGTTGCTCAGAGCTCGCACTCTTGAGCAACCTCTTAACCAACTGAGCCACTCAGCCAGCCCTTGAGTTCATTTTTGTATATGGTACGGGAAAAGGAGCCTAGGTTCTGTTTTGTTTTGTTTTTAAATAGACACCTGATTGTTCCAGCACCATTTGTTGAAAAGACTATCCTTTCCCCATTGAATTACCTTGGAACTCTTGTTGAAAATCAACTGACCATAATTATGTGAGTTTGTTTCCGGACTCTCTATTGTCTTCCACTGATCTATACTTCAGTCTTTTGCCAATATTATATTAATTACTATAAAAAAATGTCTTGAGGGGCCAGCCGAGTGGCTTGTTGGTTAAGAGATGGCTTGGGACATCAGCTCTGAGCAGGAGGGCCCGGGTTCGGATCCCACATGAGGGCCAGTGACGCTGTGCCCTCTACAGCTGAGATGGTGAACAACAGTTCTACCTGGAGCTGGGCTGCTGTGAGTTGCCGTTGATGGTGTAGGCTGCAGTGGGGCTGGCCAGCAGTGGGCGTTGAGTTTTCGTGAGCTGCCGTGAGCCACCGTGAGCGGCCGGCCAATGGCTGGTGACCCAATGCCTCACCTGGGAAGGGCGCAATGATCACAATACCAACATGGGCCAGTGAAGTGACGTCCTCCACAACTAGACTGAAGAACAAAAGGACAGCAACTTGTCTGTTCCCTGTCCCCGATTCCCCAGCACTGTTCCCCTCCCCCAATTCCCCAATAAAAATCTTAAAAAACAAAAATGTCTTAGAAAAAAGAGCTTTAAAAATGTCTTGAAATTACGTAGCACAAATCCTCCAACTTTATTATTCTTCCACAAAATTGTTTTGGGTATTCTAGGTTCTTTGCATTTCCATATAAATTTTAGGATAAGCTTGTCAGTGTTCACGAATAAACCTGCTAGGGATTTTAATAGGAATTGTATTGAATCTATAGATCAATTAGGGAAGAACTGTGATCTTAACAATATTAAGTCTTCCAATTCATAAACATGGGACATATCTTCCATTTACTTAGGCCTTCTTTCATTTCTCTCAGAATTGTTTCCAAGTATTTCAGTGTATATGTGTGTGTATGTTTTGAAAAAAGCATCCCTGAAAACATCATAGATTATCTAGAGCAGATTCAATCTGGAGACTAATATCTACTACCTATCCAATAATTTCATTTTGTAATTAGGGCAATGCCTGGGATTTCCACTACCTTCCCCGCATCCATGTGCTTCCAGCAGTTTTGAAAATCAATGCACAATTCACATTGTCAGAATTGTTACTGCTGAGAATACATTTTTGCATGAGAGGGTTTCTGAAGCAGAAATGAAGTTGACAACTATAGGAAATAGAGAGTCCATATTTTTGTATTTTGAGTGGAAATTAAATAAAATTTTTAGATATCTTGGTGGCATATTCAGTTTGAATAGTTCTGATTAATAACTGCTGTTCATCTTCTCACACAAGGAACAGATTCCAATCCTATCTTGGATAATAACAATAACAATCTCTTCTGAAATGCTTACTATGTGTCAGGCACTCTTCTAAGCACTTTGAAGACATGGAGTCATTTAATCTTAATAACAACTCTAAGAGGTGGGGACTATTATCCCCGTTTTACACAAGAGGAAACTCAAGTCCAGAGAAGTTAAGTAACTTGTCCAAGGTCATACAGCTAGGAAACAGTGAAGCCATACAACTAGAAAACCCAAACCTAGGCAGTCTAGTTTCAGAATCCATTCTGTTAACCACTAGGAGCACAAAAAAGAGAACATTTCATATAAACGTATTTTCAGACCTTTGCTTCCAATAATGGAAGACTGTGTAATTCAGGTCAACCCTCCCCCACCCCACCCCCAGACAACTAGAAAAGATTGAACAAAATATTTTAAAAATCTAATTAAATACATCAGAGAACTAACAAAGGGTAAGGAATCACCAGGCCACAGTCCACAGAAGGCAGAAATCAGAGAAGTAAGCCACATTTGGGGTTTCTTTTACTATAGCAACATTTGCCGATTCTGGACAAGATGGCTCTGAGGCTGTTCAGCCTTTCTGCCTGTGTCATAAGGCTAGGGTAACAAAAGTCAGAGTTCAAGGCCTGTCAAGAGTGAGAGCGCTGGCAAACCCCTCAGGATTGGGTTGGGACTCTGAAATTGGATTGCGTCCTAGGAATAAGGGTGAACCAGAAATAAACCAGAACCTCCATGGACTACAGCCCAGTTTCAAATCATCTGGCTAGACAAAGAATATCAATCCCTGAAACTAAACTAAGGTGATCCTATCCTGCTAGTGCTCTTTCTAGGCCTCCAAGAGCAAAAAAAAATACTCTCTGAAAAAAGATAATATTAGTTGAGGTTTCAAGCTATTTCTACAATTTTTCAAATAAAATACCTGGCACATAGTCAAAGAAAATGCAGCATAAGAGAAAACAAGACAATGTAAACATGATGCAGCAGAAAAAAATAGATAATAGGAACAGATACACAAAAGTTCAGATATGAGGATTATCAGAGAAAGACTGTAAAATAGATACTTTAAACTATTTTAAAAGAGATAAAAGACTGTATTTAAAATTTTGGCAGAGAATCAGAAAATATAAATAACACAGGAGATGTGAAAAATAAATAAAAACTCAAGAATTGAAAAATGTTTCAAAAGAGTGAAATCACACAGAATATGTTCTCTAACCACAATGCAATTATGCTAGAAGTTGATGATAAAAAGATCATCTTCGGGGCCGGCCGAGCAGTCAGTGCATTGATTAAGAGTTGAATATATACATATATATATATATACACACACACACACACACACACACACACACATATATAGATATACATATATATAGTCACGGGACGTATAGTGTGGGAGTGAACTCAAGGGAATTGCAATAGATATGTATGATATTGGAGGGGGGAAGTGGGGGCGGATGGGGGGGGGGAGGGGTTGTCACTTCGAGGGGTAAAAAGTATAACTATTGCACTGTGTTGTGCAGCTGAAACTAATTCTAAAAAATGTGTATTTCACAATAAAAAATAATTAAAAAAAAAAGAGTTGGCTTCATATGCCAGCTCTGAGCAGCAGGGCCCCGGTTCAGATTGCACATTAGGGCCAGTGATGCTGTGCTCTCTACAGCTCAGATGGTGAACAACAGCTCAACCTGAAGCTGGGCTGCTGCGAGTTGCCGGTGACGGTATAGGCTGCAGTGGAGCTGCAGTGGGCTGCCGTAAGCTACCATGAGTGGCCAGCAGCCAGCATGAGCTGCTGGCAGCCAGTGTGAGCTGCCGTGAGCTGCAGTGACCGGCAGTCCAGAGGCCGGAGACCGATCTGCCTCATTCCGGAAGAGTGCAATGATAATACCAACAAGGGCCAGTGAAGCAAAATCCTCCACAACTAAAACGAAGAACAAAAGGACAGCAACTTGTCTGTTCCCCTTTCCTGATTCCCCAACGCTGTTCCCCTCCCCCAATAAAATCTTTTTTTTTTTTTAAACTGGAATGTTATAACTGATCCCACAAATATTGACCAGGTAATCAAAGGATTTTATGAAATCTTTATGCCAATAAATTTTAAAATGTTGATGAGATAAATTCCTAGAAAAATACAACTTCCCAAAAATCAACACAAGAATAAATAAGAAATTTGAATAGTTATGGAATGGTTCAAGAAATTGAATTTATAATTGAGGGCTGGCTGAGTGGCGCGATGGTTAAGAACTGGCTTGGGATGCCAGAGGGCCCCAGTTCGGATCCCACATATGAGGGCCAGTGACACTGCCCTC